GGGACATAGTTTACTTTCTTATAAGTAAAGTTTATGTATGTCGATTTATTTGTATTTAGTTTTATTAGCCATCGTTTGGTCCAGTTTTCTATTGAATTTAATGCCAATTGTAACTTGTTTGCTGCAACTACTTCATTTTCTGCAACAGCCAAGATCGCTGTGTCGTCTGCGAATGTAGCTGTTAAAGTTTCTGGTACCTGAGGAAGGTCGAATGTGTAGAGTAAGTACAATGTTGGGCCAAGCACACTTCCTTGAGGAACTCCGGCTCGTATTTCATGTATTGGTGAATAAGCGTTTTCGTATTTTACTCTAAAATATCGATCAGAAAGATATAATTTTAATAGTTGACTATACGTTGATGGTAGTATTTGGTCTAGTTTGTAATTTAAACCATCTAACCAGACTTTGTCGAAAGCTTGTGCAACATCCAAAAATATGGCGGAGCAGACTTTATTTTCTTCCATTGCTATTTCGATAGTATTCGTTATTCTATGCACTTGGTCTATTGTTGCATGTTTATTCCGAAACCCAAACTGCTGTGTTGGTATTAGGGCTTTTTCTTCTATGACAGGTTTTAGTCTTTTTAATAGTAATTTTTCAAGTAGTTTTGATAGTAAGGGTAACAATGAGATTGGCCTATATGATGTATAGTCTCCGATTTTTCTGGTGGTTTTTATGACTTAATTGCAGTCATGTAACGAACAAAGACGGGGATGTAAACAGGTAGTTGACGAACCCCAAACTCCGGCGTGAGTTATTATTATTATTATAATTCGGGAGGAATGTTGTACAATTCGGTTGAATAATATTTCAACCGAATTGTGGTCGCAGTGCATAAAACACGTGAAAGATGTCGAAGATGCGTATGTGTCCCCACATGTACAGCGTTTTATTATTAGTGTTGATGATTCTTCTGATGACGACAGCTTAGAATGCGCGGAAAGTGACAACTGTATTGACACTGGTGAAGAATCTTGAATTAACGACAATCGCCGGTTAGAAATGTTAAATAATTTATATTGAAATAAAATAAAAAAAAGAAGTGCGTCCCTGGACTTAGTTCGCTATTAGGGCCTATCATAAATCACGATCAGGAGGTACTTTTTCGAGATGATAATTATTGCCGTTACTGTTTCTCAGGGTCATAAAAAGCACCAGAAAAATCGGAGACTATAACATATGTGGGGGGTTTACCAGGTTTTGGTATCATTATTATTTTAGCAACTTTCCATATACTTGGGAAACGTTTCTGTTTAAAAGCAGCATTAAGCATGTGTAATAGTTTTGCAATCGCCCGTTTTGGCAAATGTTTCAATGTTTCTCCGTTAGTTAGATCATAGTCCACTGATTTCTTAATATTTAGTTTTTGTATTTCATAATACAGTTCTTTCATTCTTACACATGGTATATTACGCTACTGATCACTTTGAATTATGCTAGGAACACTATTTAACATAATTGTTGGACTGTCTGATGTAAAAGTTTCTTTCAGATGTTCAACAAACAAATTAACTTTTTCTTGATTGCTCTTAGCCCAATTTCCATTACTATTTCGAATTGGAGGTGTATGTGTTTTTGGAACTTTAAGCTGTAGTGTTGCCTTCGCATCGTCAGTAAGGTCTTTTAAGTAATTTTGAATATTATTTTGTTTGTGGCTATCTGTTAATGCTCTTAATTCGGCTGTTATTTTATTTAATTTAGTTTTATCACTAGGAATTCAATTCGTTTGCCATTTCTTTCTTACTTTCCGTTTTTTTGCAATTTTGTCTCTAATGAATTTAGGATAAATATTAGATTTTGGTTTTGGTGTTAAAATAGGTGTTGAGGCGCAGGCTGCGTTTTGTATGTCTTTTAAGAACTTTTCTACTTCATTGTCAATATCTTCGTTTGTTTTCATAAAAGCATTAAGATGAATTTTATTATCTAATGTTTGTTGAAATAGATTTCAATTAGTGAGTTTATTAGTTAGTGATAAAAAGGGTTCTTTGTTATTTAGAGTAATAATTACTGGTGAGTGATCTGAGTCCAGTCCTAATTCTTCTTCTATGTTTACGAAGTTAAGCGATATATTTTTTGTAATAAAAAAATCAAGCAGGTCCGGAATTTTAATTCTATCTGTTGGCCAGTAAGTTGGCTTGCCAGTAGACAGCACCTCACAATTTAGGGCCTCTATTGCATGTTTCAGTTCTCTTCCTTTTGTATTTATCAAGCGAGAACCTCAACATATGTTTTGCATTAAGGTCTCCTCCAAGTATAAATTTGTTTTCATGATGTAGTAGAATTTCCTGATAATCTTCTCTTTTGAGATTATGTCTCAGCGGTATGTACGTTGCTGCTACAGATATTAAGCCATTAGCAGTTTGAACTTTCATCACTGTAGTATTGTTCAATATTACTTTTAATGATAATTGCACTTCCACCTCGAGCCGCATTACTAGGGCGAATTGTGTGATAAATATTATAATGGTTGATGTTTATATACAATACTCGTGTAAAGTGAGTTTCGGAGATAAGACATATATCAATATTGTTTTCTTTCAGTATTTTTGGTAGTGTAGTTTGGTGCTGTCGAAGATCATTGGAATTTCACAGCATTATTTTTAGTTGCTGCTTTTTAGACATTTTGATTTCTTTTTTGATTCGCTCCTTGGTTTAAGGTGATTTCTTCAAGATGCTAAGAAAATAAAAAGGGAAACTGAAAAAGCTGTAGATATGTTCATCCTAACGTGCATGAGGGTAATAATTCTACCGGTTAGGAGTTCTAGGCTGGTACCGCAACACAAAAGATGCCAAGCCTATGATCATGTCTGGAAATACTGCGAGAAGGAGCGAAGGTGTGTCAAATGAACTGATAAACATCTTACGAAAAATTGCCAAAAACCACTAGAACAAGAACTAAAATACGTGCATTGTACAGATAAATGTACCGTCGACTATCATGGTAGTTATGCAGTTAAAACAATACAAAAAATGAAAAATCAGAAATACCGAAACCTTCGCAAAGGTCACATTGTTGAAAACTTTTTTGGAAATACATGAGCACAGAATTACATAAAAATTGTGTAATGAGTGTAATTTATATAACCGCATCTTGTTAAATTTCAATGCCACGAGCTCGCCGAGTGATTATCGCTTTTATTTTTGGTGAAACACGCTATAGGTATTACGGCATTTTATTGGTTACCTTCTGCCGATGCAAAATTGCTCGGAGTCAAGCGGTCTTCGGATTTCTCTAATGTATTCTCTTGTTGGAGTCATCAATGTCGTAATACTGTTTTCAGTTTGTTGCTTGATTCTCTTTTTCCAAAACTCGCTGTCACTTGACAAAGTCTCTTCATTACTGTCGAAAATACCTTCTGCGCGTTTAATAGTTAAATGAAGTTTCGTCATAGCTAAAACAGGAGGTTAATAATAATAATAAGACTTTATTTCCCACAAGTACCACCCAGTTACAGGAAAAAAAAATTATAACATCACAAAATTTAAATTTAAATTAACTAAATGAAAAAGATATAGCTATAAGCAAAAATACAAACTAATACAACCACATAAACTAATCGTAATCATAACTACTATCAATCTACTGCATGCCGAAATGATCAAAAGTTACCCTAACCACCGTGTTCAAGGAATCAAAAAACATATCGCAATGCGGCGAAACCTGATTGCCGTAATCGGAGATTAACGAGACAGGAGATTTTCGTAAAGTGTTACTATTACTACGGCAATTATAGAACATGAGGGGACAGCGTACGTTGAGACGCGGTACAAGAAAGGTTAACCTTTCCAACAACCAGCCGCAATCGATATCATAATGCAACAGTTTATGAATAACTTTAACTATGTAACCAACTCTGCGCTGTTGTAGTGAAAGAAAACTAAACCGCGAAAAGAGACGCGTAATCTGCACCCCTAAGCGGGTAAACACGATCTAGTCGAAAGCATAAATACTTTAAAAATGTCTTCTGTATAGATTCAAGCGCATTCGCGTAAAACTCATAGAATAGATACCAAACAATTATCGCATACTCCAACCGCGATCTAATCAACGCAAAAAACAACGTACATAAACATCTGATGCACGACCCTTACAGTTTCGAACAAACCGTAAATTTTATAGCATTTAGCAATTAACACTTTGCCGTCCGCACGTTTCGCAAAAATTTATTCGCTTGGCGCCGGCAGAAAATTCAGATTACTCAGTAGATCCATACGTAAGCGGGCGACACCAATATGGTGACGCCGGCCGTTGAGCAATATTTTTCGCCCGACACCACTGTGGTGTCGCCGGACGGCATAGTGTTAAGTTAAGAATGTGTTCGTTAAAAATCAATCCACTGTCGAACAGCACCCGGTCATAGCACTTACGTTCGGACATCAACGGTTGACTGGCCAAGTGATATGCACAGCCGATTGCGTTTAATTTTTTAGAAAATGTCATGGTAAAATATTTAGAAATATTAAGTGATAAACGGTTGCTAAGGCACCAATCCTCAACACGAAACAGGTTTTCTTGTAAGCGTTCACAATCGCTGAGATCCCCAACAGCTGAGAATAACTTCAAATCATCAGCAAATAGCAGCTTCTCACAATCCAAGATCTCGGTTATGTCACTAATAAAAGCCAGGAACAGCAATGGACTGAGGTTGATCCCTAGGGAATCCCTGAAGTTGGAAAATCCTCTGGAAGTGAAGTCGCCATAATTAACAAACTGCTGCCGACCTAGCAAATAAGATTTCATTAACGACAACAGAGGGGCACTTAATCCAAAGTTACTCAGCTTTTTTAATAAGATAAAGTCATCCAGCTGATCAAACGCCTTCCGAAAGTCGAGAGACACGGCATCTGCCTGCCCTCTAGCGTCGATTACATCAGCAACAAATTGGGCGAAGCATATCAGATTGGTTACAGCGGATCGACCATAAACAAATCCGTGTTGGACTGGGCTTATGTACTTATTTAAATGATATGAGATGTGCTTGAAAAGAACGGTTTCAAAAGTCTTCGAGAAACCACACAGCAGCGATATAGGCCTATAATTCACAATCTCAGCAGGGTTGCCCTTCTTCAAAATTGGACAGACGTATCGACTCTTTCCATAACGACGGAAAGGTGGATGTAGACAGAACCAGATTGAAAATCGAGAGCAATGGGGCGGCTAGAATGAAAGCACAGTCCCCCAGTAAAAAGCTCGCTATCCCATCAACTCTCGCAGTAAGAGTATTCTTTGCACGCTTCAACGCATCCTCAACCTCCTCCAAGCTGAAGCTCTCCACTGACAAACAAAGACTATGATCGGGGAAATCAGACCCCACAAAAACAGGATCAGATTGAATATAAACGGACTCAAAATAATCAGAAAAAGCGTCCACAATACTTCGACCTGAACTGAACTCCAGGTTTCCATTTGTCATAAGGCCTGGAATGCGAGTACCGCCCTTCCGTGTCCGAACGTAGGCCCAGAAGGTACTGGGATCAGAAATCAAAGATCGCTCTACATCGTTCATGTACGCATTATATGCTTCGGTAATGAGGTGTTTCGATAGAGATTTACAATACAGTGAACCAGTACGCTTATGCTTTGCGCGCATATTCTCCTTCATGCGAATACAATCCTTTACTTCCCTCGTGAACCAAGCAGGCCAACGACGATTCGTAGAATCTCTCACAGTTTTAGGCACTGCTAAATCAAAAACATCGTGTAGCTTGTTATAAAGAAGCCGGCATGCATCTTCTACCATTCCAATACCATCTAGGTCCGACCAGTTCACCTCTCCCAACATCCGATACAACAAAGGATAGTCTGCACGTCTAAAGTTGTAGGTGGGTACGCCCCGTTGCTTAAACATAGAAACCTGGGGAGCATAAACCAAAACAATCGCTAAAACGGGATGATGGGAATCCTCAGCAAGCAAAGGATCGAGATCGCGAGTGACTGCGCAGCTCATATTGGCAAAGATCAAATCAAGTAAACGATTGTTGATGTTCACAATTGTATTGTACTGACGAAAATCATGGAAATGTCGGAAATTTGTTAAAGGTCGTTTTAAATCTATCATTGGTACCAATGGAAGCATAGGAGGGGACATTAAAATCACCAAGAAGAACAACGCATTCATTAGCCAGATATTCAAATAAATTAAACGTGTCAAAAAATAGTTCAAATGCATCAAAACTGACAGAAGGTGGTATATATAAAGCAAATACATATATTATTTTCCCACGTACACCCTGAATCTTGGCTCCTACCACATCAATTACTGGTACCACTCTGGATAAATCAGAGAGATCAAGCTGACTTGCTTTAAGGGTGTTCTTAAGACAAGTCAAAACACCCCCCCCTAGACAGGCCAAGCGCAGAAAAGTTACGATCCCTCCGAAACGTAATCCAATCACCGGGACAAAATTCAGCATCAAAAATATCATTGGATAGCCATGTCTCCCACAAGGCCACAACATCAAAACAAAACTCACACACTGAATTCAGAAGAGTAGGTGTCTTCGTACGAACACCTCTGACATTTTGGTAATAACAAGACATTATAACTGGGTGGTATATTCAGTTTAAAATATTTTTTACGATTTTCGGGGTGCCATTGGTATAGCGTATTCAGAGGTCAGGTTCACCGTTAGTAGTACGCTGCTCCAACTGAAGTTTGAGCTGATTATAATATTTTATCAGCCTAGGAGTTCGATCATAGCAAATTCTTAAATTTGAGTAAGCAGGAAAGTTAGAAGCCGGATGGTAACAGCACCAATCGTGAATCACCCTGGTTCTTTACCATACTGTTCGGTGATAATAAGCGAGTCAATTTTCATTTTATGTTAGGATTGCGAGAGAACTTTATCGGGCATACCGCTATGGTGTGAGATCACTTAGATTATGTGGAATTTTCCCCAATTTCGTTTTAGTGTCTACTGTAATTTCTACAAACATCAGACACTGAAGCATACTCCTGCATACTCATTAAGATCACAAAACATGTGAGCTATTTTGCCATCACAATGAAGAAATAGATCCTCATCCTTCCCATCAGACGTGTCGCATTCATCAGAACATTCTTTCTGTTTCCGGTCTTGGTTTTATTTCCATTTTTTTCCTCTTCTCTTGTTTTCGTCAAGTATTACACCATTCTCAAGTTTACACAATTTGATATTGCCTATAAAAGCTTTAAATCCGTATTTTAATTTTGAATTTTAACCGATACACGTTATCTGTTAAGAAGATTTTATATTGAGCTAAAACTAGAACTGACATTAAATTTTGTTTCATTTTTAGACTTTTAATCAATCTAGCACATTGAGGACCCATCTAAAACTGCACGGAGACAAGGATCAAAGCTGTAGATTATGTTTCAAGACTTTTTGTCGGTTGGCAGACTTGAAAACTCATTTAAGAACTCATACTGGGGAAAAACCGTTTCAGTGTGGCACTTGTAAGATCCGTTTCATTCAAAAAAGTCATCTAACCGAACACGAAAAGTTACATTTTGATGTTAAACCCTTTAAATGTTCGATTTGTTTGAAAAGTTTCGCCCAAAAATCTACATTAAAGTCCCACCTTGACATACATTTAGGGATTAAAAAATATAAATGTAAATATTGTTCTTATTCAGCCCGACAAAGTTACGTGTTGAAGACACATTTGAAACAACATGAAGAATTATATAATTTTGAATAAGATTATATATTTAGATGTATTAAAATAAAGTGTTTTTTAAAAGACACAAAATTTATTTATATACCTTTTACCATTTATGATCACTAGAGTCCGGAATTTTATGCACAAAATTTATGCAAAATATGCGCATATATATGCAGTAAATATAAGAAAATATGCAAATTTCATATAAAAATATGCAAAGTTTATGTTAAAATATGCATGCATTTTGTACTACTGTTAAAATAGTATATTAAATTATATATAAAGTCGGTATTTTTTTAATAGGTTCAATAATAATCAAAATAACATCTAAAGATTTAAAAACTCTATTTTATTAAAATAAAAAAAAATACAACTAAATAAAATATATTTATAAACAGGCGACTACAAACTTCAGCATACATAAAAATCGATGTATATATAAATATTTACATGCCTGCAGTAATGTTATAATTTACAATTATATATTTTTCAATGTTCTCAACTAAGAAGTTACGTCGTCTATCAGACAGTATCTGTTTGTAGCTCGACAAAACTCCTCTCTTCATCTACAGATGTTATGGGTGCATATTTAAAGTTACTAATTAAATTTGGCTCAATATTAATGTGATCGCTTCAATATCCACTAACTATTTTAGCCGCCTTTGATAACAATATATAACCGTGATTTTTTTCTAATACTTCATAAACCTTTTTATTAATAATTTGGCCTACTTTACCTTTTACTTTTTTAACACCAGTCTCAAATTCCTCTATTAATCCAACAGACTCATTTAGTGACATTGCTTGCGTTTCTAAATTTAAAATAATCCTACTGACAAACTCATAATTACTTTGAATAAACACTAATTCTAAACCTAATGTCGCTTTTTTCAATAGTGCTTTGCATTTTTTAATTGCTTGATTATTTTCCTCCTCAAAATCCATGATTAATTCCTTTATAGACGTAAAATGTAGGGCATAAAATGTTGCAGCATTTAACCAGGTACCCCACCGTGTAATGACAGGCTCTGGTGGTAGATTAACATTAGGCAATTTTTCCTTATATAGTTGGATCCTAAGGGGAGACTTCAAAAATATTTTTTTTACATTGCTAATTAACGCATTTATTTCTGAAAATTGATTCCTAATTTCCTCTGCTACTCTATTCAAATCATGAGCTAAGCACGTCACATGAATTAAATTGGGGTACAACATTTTACGTTGTTGACCTGCTTTAACCACATATGTGGCAGCATCCGAAAGCAAAAGCAATATTTTTTCAGTTGGTACAATTTCCGGAAGAAAAAAATTCATTAACGCTTCATTTACGAAACGTAAAATTGTAAGATGGTTAGTTTTGTCTAATTGTTTGCAAGCAATTAAATATGATTGCTGAATTATTGATGAAATGAACTACTTAAAACACCTATCAGCAAGTTCGCAATATATCTTCCACAACAATCGGTAGTTTCGTCAACTATTAAATATACGTAGTGGTTTTTGACTACTTCTTTGATAGTCCTAATTATTTTAACATACTCCTTATTTACGTACCCCTTGCGCAAAGTGCTTTCATCCGGTACAGTACGCCCAGAATACTGTTCTAAAAATTTTTTTAATTCAGGATTTTGCAATTTTTGAAATGGAATGTTGGCTGCCAAGAAGGCTTTGCATAATCCTGCATTAAATATTTGCTGCTCATTTTTGGTTGTTTCTGATTGAATAGCTTGCTTCAGAGATTGTTGAGCCATTTTAGTTTGATTAAGTTGGTGAGTTTTTTTCTTATGTAAATCGGTAGCAACATGTTGTGTGATCTGAGATTTGCGGTCACAAGCAACCTGCAACAAAAGCTTAAGAGTAAGAAACAAACATTTTGGAATCGACTGTAGCCATACAAAGTTAATTTAATATAAAACCCATGGAATAAAATAGATTAAGAAAAGTATTCAAAATTACAACAACAATCTTAAGGATGACTTAAATAAAAACGTGATTTAAGTTACAGGTGTAAATAATGGAAACGTTCTCAGTTCTTTAATTGGTCAGTGGTTATAGGAGTACGTTTCCATTATTTACACCCGTAACTACAATTCACTGGTAGAATGGATTATAATTTTAATCTAGACTTTATAAAGTGTAATTATTAGTTTTATTTAAATTTACATTGAAAAATATGACAAATATAAACTTACCGTTTTACCACATGCTTTACAAAACACATTTTCTTCTTGTAGAATAAGTTCAGGAATTGCTTTTATCTAAGACATCACCAAATAATTTTTCACCTTCGGCATTTTTGAAATACTTAAAAGTTTGTACAGGGTGTCCAAATTTCGATGGGTTTGCAGGGTATCTCAGTTATTATGAAAGATAGAAAGTTGCGGTTTTCGCGAACCTGAGCTACTTTTTTGTGAAACTTACAATGCCGTAAACCAAATTTTCATAGACCTCTTCGTTTTTGATATACAGGGAGTATTTCAAAATTTACGATTTTCAGACACCCCTGTATCTCGGCTATCCGGAAACTTAGTAAAAAAGTAAAAACGGGTTCTAATAGATTTTTTCACGTAGAATCCAATGATGCACGTAGATTTTTTCTAGACATCACGGTTTTTGAGTTATAAACACAAATTAGGTTTTTTTAAATGGAACCACTTATATTTTATTTTTTTATTGAACTAGAATTTTTTCAAGCTTTTCAATGATATATAATACTCTATACTTACCTTTATAATTAACCTCGAAATTAAAAAAACCACATTATTTTATAAGTAGGCTATGATAAATTAGGTGATCGCGTTGCTAGGATACCAGAATAAACAAAGAATTTTGAAAATACTATAATATTAATTATTGACTTATTAAAAAAATGTATCTATTAAATTTTGTTTGCTAAAAACGAAAATTTATTAAAAACTAAACATTATGCAAATATGGCTTCAAGTTACAAGAATTGTTCAAAGTTGTTACCATTTTGATGCACACATTGTTCACAAAGTTTAGTAATGCGTTTAATTGCATTTAGAATAGTTATGGGATGTTGCTGTAAATGTGAAAAAGCATCAGTTACAGCAATTTTCAATTCCAATTTTGTTCGATTCTGGGTACTATATACCCGATTCTTGATATATCCCCATAAAAAGAAGTCCAAAATAGATAAATCAGGTGATCTTGCTGGCCATCGCGTTGGACCATGTGTGCCTATCCACCTACCAGGAAATTCTGCAGTTAGGTAGCGACTCACTAACTGCGCATTATGAGCGGGAGCTCCGTCCTGCTGAAAATAAATATTATTTAGCCGAATAAGAGGAATATCATCCAAAATCTCTGGCAAAGCCTCTTGCAAGATGGCCAAATAGCGATTAGCGCAAAGGTTTCCTTCAAATATTTTGTAAACAATTCGTGGCCCAATAATAAAACATGCCACGCTAAAACCAAATTTTCCTTGACGCTCCCGCTCAATTACAATATGTTGGTTTTCTTGATGCCAATGCCTGTTATTATGACGATTATAGATTCCTGTGCTGGTAAAATATGCCTCATCAGACCATATAATAGAGGAACTAAATTCAATATTATTTTGTGCATGGTTCAAATACCAGTTACAGAATTCCAAACGTCGTTCGGCATCTCCCGGGTGTAAGTGGTGAACTATTTGTTCTTTGTAGGGTTTATATTTATACTTTTTTAGAATCGCACAGGCTGTCGATTTTTTAATTCCAACTTGACATTCAATTTCCCTACATGATGTTTTAGGCGCGGCTTCCACACATCCTAACACGGTAATTTCATTGTTATTCCGATTTTCTTTATTATATTTTTTTGGCCTGGGCATCAAAAAACTTCCATAATTGATCAAATTACGCTTTATTCGCAAAAAAATTTTTGAATTTGGTTGCGCTCTTTCTGGATATCTGAAGTGAAACAATCTGCTAATAAAATGTTATTGCTGATAAATGTTGCATTCTACCTATTTATGTATAATTCAGCAGCTTGATTAACATTTTCATTTGCATGAATGTAACATGCTAGCATGTCATATTTTTCATAATTTTCATAGCGCTCCATTTCAAGAAAAAGATAATTAAGTTAAGTTAATTAAAGGTAATTAAGTAACACACGACTTATTGTTAGCACAAAATTCAAAATTAAGTTTGACAGTAATTAACTATATTTACTTTGTTTATTCCGGTATCCTAGCAACGCGATCACTTAATAGACAACCTAAGCCTTGACGTAACAGAGATGGGCGGAGCTTATATCGACTCCAAACATTTTCATAGCTAAGTGTGTTGCTAACGGTAAATCACCATATGCAATTTTTCAATTAGTGTTAAAATAAAATAAACTAAGTGACTTTTTATGACATTTCAAATGACATTTTTATTACGGTTTATCATTAGCAACTGTGGTTAGCAACGAAATTGTTTGGAGTCGATATAAGCTCCGCCCATCTCTGTGACGTCAGGCTAGGCAGTCTATTTATCATTGCCTACTTATAAAATAATGTATTTTTTTCAATTTCGAGGTTAATTATAAAGGTAAGTATAGAGTATTATATATCATTGAAAAGCTTGAAAAAAATCCAGTTCAATAAAAAAATAAAATATAGGTGGTTCCATTTAAAAAAACCTAAGTTGTGTTTATAACTCAAAAACCGTGATGACTAGAAAAATTCTACGTGCACCATTGGATTCTCCGTGAAAAAATCTATTAGAACCCGTTTTTACTTTTTTACTAAGTTTCCGGATAGCCGAGATACGGGGGGTGTCTGAAAATCGTAAATTTTGAAATACTCCCTGTATATCAAAAACGAAGAGGTCTATGAAAATTTGGTTTGCGGCATTATAAGTTTCACAAAAAAGTAGCTCAGGTTCGCGAAAACCGCAACTTTCTATCTTTCATAATAACTGAGATATCCTGCAAACCCATCGAAATTTGGACACCCTGTACATACAAAGCAAAAACTAAAAAGAGATCCGAACAGCTTAAGATCGACTCGTAGAATGATGTGTTTTCAAATAAATTTCATCATTCTTTTTTATCATCATTTTTTATTTTAGACGCCAGCTACATAAAGACCCGCTTTGGGCCTAAGTCGCCAAAGACGCCGGGCCCTCGACGAACGTGCGACGCCCGATAGTGCGTCGCGACGGTTGGCCTGGCTACTTCTAACCAGGGACTAAGAACGGAACGAAAACAAGAACGAAATTA